TTAACTTTAAATAACAATAATTGAAAAATAAGTATACGTTTGGTCATTGTTACATCAATCTTTTCAAGTAAAGCAGTGTTATTACAATTTTTGCATAATTTTTGTACATTATTCCAATGTGAGAAGTTAAGTTGTATTAATTCTTCAAGAGTATATGATTTCTTTAAATTTTTAGGTACGGCTAATAATAAAATATAATTTTTAATATTTTCTACATTAGTATAACTACAAGTAGAACATCGTAACGTTATATTTAAATAATGTTCTATTTCAGTTTTAATTTTATCTATATTACAACAGAGATGATTGATAAATTCACCAACATCTTGCTGAAGATTACTAAGATAACGATCACCTGCTAATTGACGCAATGCGATTATGTCAATATTTTTATTGTTTGCATAACAATCATTAACTTTCTCATTACATTTGTATTTTCAAGTCGAAACAATGATGTTCTCAACGTAGGCGAATGAAATATACATTGAAGCGAAGCATTAGCATAACAAGATATATTATCGATATTTGGGAGTCCTCTTATACACCATAAAGTATAATCATCTTTATCGTTAATTTGACATTCTAAAATATTATTTGGTATTGCCCATATTAAATCACGTACTTTCTGAACATGTTTTAAAATACTAATGTTTAAAAGGTCTGGTCTATATTGTGATCGCAATCTATTATATTCTATTATGGCAAATTCATTTGCTTTCACAGATGAAGGATTATAATTTATAAGATGTAATCCTTAAAGTAGTTATTCGTGAAAGGGCAACGTATATTTGTCCACAACTGAATATAGAATTTCCAGCTTCTATAATAGCATTTTTTAAACTCAATCCTTGACTTTTGTGAATAGTCATACCGTAACTTAAACATATTGGAAATTGTTTTCTTATAACATATGCTCTATCCATTCAAATTTAACGCTAACACGTTCTAATATATGCTCTACTCCTGTTGAAAGCATTATTTTTATTTTATTTACTTCATTATTATTGAGAATAAATGATGTAATTGTGCCAATTGTACCATTTACAAGACCTAAAAAAACATCAATATTTCTTCTAATCATTATACGTGCACCTAATTTTACAATTATAATTTTCGCTAATCCAGCTGTTCGAGAACTATCTTCATCATTTTTATTTAATATTTTTGAAATTTTCTTTTTTAAATATGATACACAATCTGTTACGTCTTGAGCAACGAGTTCTATTTCATATGAAGAAATTCGATCTAACATTGCAGTGTTCAAAGTATCACATAATGCATAAGTTGGAAGTAAACAAACAGCATCCAATG